ACACACACACTGGATGGTATCGCCCACTTTGGAAACAATGATGTATCTAATCCAACCAGAGGGGCTTTGGAAGAAAAGGTTGGTGATTCTAGTTCCATAAGATCATAGCCATTGAAAACTGCTGGAGCATAATTTCACTCTGGTACACATGGGGTTACTTTAAAAAATGTTGATGGGATATTTTTCTCTATCTAGCTAGTCTTAAGTCTCACCTGGGAAGAGCCCAAAGCCCTGGGAGCAGTTAAGCCACATCTGTAAGACCAAGCAGCCACTCTGCTGACTTACACACTGGAACGCAGGTCTTCTCCATGTGTCCTTTCTAAGGTACTGCATTGTACCGAAGTGCCTTTGACCATCATGGTGGTGAGGCACTTCAGGGATGGAAGCCAGAGGGCAGCTTTCCAGTCTTGGCCCCGCTACTTAGTAGTGACAGGACCTCGGACCAGGTACTCAGCCTTCAGTGCTCCAGTTTCCTCTGCTTTAAGGCTCTCCCGCTTTCATCGCTTGTGGGAAGGCGGAAATACGTGTACAAAGTACCCAGGGTAACACCTGGCTCATGGTGTGGCTCAGTGTTATTTTTTAAGGTTTATGGAATTGAAGCACTTAGGGTTAAAACCTACTGATCTCTGGCCCAGTGAACTTCAGGGCTGAGTCCTTGACATCTTGAGGGTCACTGTTCTCTTCAAGCAATTTGAAAAACTAAAAAAAAAAAAAAAAATCGTATTTGAATTAAAAAAATGAAGTATATGCTCTGTAGCCCTTTTAGAGGGTGTCACTTAATGGGACTTTTAGCAAGACTAGCAAAGGCCAAAGATGGCACTAACCTGCACTGCTGCAGTTGTCTTTAACAGCTGTCTTTGCGTGGAGTGGCGTTTGTGTGGCGGAGTGTGATGGGAGTCTAGCTGCTCATGTAGAGAGGGCAGGAGAAAACCCGGCATCTGTCAGACTCCCCCAAAGAAGCAAGCCCAGTAGAGGGCACACCCGGTTATGTTGCTGTTTTGGGGTGCAGTTGGGTCGTCCCAATTCATTGTGACCCTGCAGGGCAGAGTGGACTGGCCCCAGAGGATTTCCTCGACTGTAACCTTCACGAAAGCATATCACCAGATCCTTTCTTCCACAGAGCTGCTGGGTGGTTTGAACTGCATCCACTGCATTTTTTCTAGCAGTGGAGTGCTTAAGCATTGGGCCACCAGGGCTCTGGGATAAAAAAATAGGTCACGGGGGAATTCTCTGTCATAGCGTACACATGTGCTTAGCTCAAGTTTGATGGGCAGAGGAAAACCCTTAACTAGATGTAGTCTCTGGGCAGCTTCTCTGAACACATTGCGTGTTTTAACCTGAGGGTTCCCGTGCCATCAGAATGTCCGTGGAGTCTGGTAAGTCCTTGGAATATATGTGCTTGGAGTTATTTTTCTTTTCTCACCATTATTTTAGGGTGACTCGGGGCTGGTGTGTTCCCGTTATCTTCAGTATTGTCGTGCAACCAACCTCTACCTTGATTTAAGAAACATCAAGAGAAATCACGACAGGTGCGTCCACAAACGGTTGCTATTACAGCCTGATAGAAGTTCAGGATATTTTCAGATCCAGGTGTATGTTTTAGATTTGCTTCGCAGAGACACGGCAGAATATAAAAAATTAGAACTATGTAGAGGGCCCCACAATTCATGAATAGGAAAAATGATGAAGTGAGAGAGCTGAACAGAATATTTCAAGGAGCAGCTTTGAATAAGATACAGTAAAGCCCTGTAATGAAGTGTGCAAAAATCTGGAATTAGAACCCCAAAAAGGAAGAACGCCCTCAGCAATTCTCAAGCGAAAAGAACTGAGGAAAACTTTCAAATCTTAATTTGCAATATTGGAAAAGTCTATGGGCACAATATTGAATCCTGCAGGAAGCATCAAAAGAAAGTGGAAGGAATACACAGCCACTGTACCAAAAAGAGTCGGTCTGTGTTCAGCCATTTCAAGAGGTAGCATGTGATCAGGAACTGCTGACACTGAAGGAAGAATTCATTCTACACTGACGGCATCAGTGAGGAGCAAGGCTCTCTCAACTGAGAAAATACCAACTGAAATGTTTCAACAAGCTGTTGCCACACTGGAAGCACTCGTTAGTTTATGTTAAGAAACTTGGAAGAGAGCTACTTGGCCAACTGAATGGAAGAGGTTCGTGTTTATGCCACTTCCAAGGGAAAATGGCCTTACAGAAAGTGGACATTATTGAACAGTATCATTAGTAGTACACACAAAGTTTTGCTAAAGATAATTAAAAAACGATTGGAGCAGTATGTCAACAGAGAGCTCCCAGAAATTTAATTTGGACTCAGAAGAGGAAGTGTAACAAGGGATATCATCACTGATATCAAATAGATGGCTGAAAATAGAGAATAGCAGAGAGATATTTACTCATCTTTTATTAACTAGGCAAAGGTGTTCGTGTGGATCGCAGCAAACTGTGGGCAGCATTGAGAAGAAGGGAAATAACAACATGTAATTGTGCTTATGTGAAGCGTGTACACAGGACGAGGCCGTTGTTTAAACAGATCAAGGGCATACTGCATGACTTAAAATGAAACAAAGGGGTCCACCCGGGTTGTATTCTTCCACCATCCTCTTTCAGTCTGTGAGAGCCCTGGCTGTGTCGTGGGTTACACCTTGGGCTACTAACCGCAAGGTCAGCAGTTCAAAACCAGTTGCTCCATGGGAGAAAAGAGGAGACTTTCTACTCCCGTAAAGATTTACAGTTCAGAAGCCCACAGGGGCAGTTTTACTTCGTCCAAAAGGTCCATGAGTCAGAATTGAGTTCATTTTTTATTCAGTCTGTATGATGAGCAGATAATCCAGGAAGCTCAATCTGTGAAGAAGACTGCAGCTTCGGGATTGGAGGAAGGCTCCTTAACGTCCGTCAGTGTTCAGATGACACAACCTTGCTTGCTGAAAGCAAGGAGGGTTTGAGTGCTTGCTGGTGAAGATCAAAGACTGCAGAGGTCAGTATGGATTACAGCTCAATGCAAAGAAAACCAACAGGATCGCAACTAGACCACAGATTGCATCATGGCAAGTGGAGAAAAGATTGACGTTGCCAAGAATTTTATTTTACTTGGATCCACTTCCAACACTAATGGAAGCAGCAATCAAGAAATCAAATGACACACTGCATTGTACAAATCTGCAAAAGATCTATTCAAAGTGCTCAAAAGAAAAGATGTCATTTTGAGATCTATGTTGGGTCTGACTCAAGGCATGGTATTTTCACTCTCCTCACATGGGTATGAAAGCTGGACCATAAGTAAGGAATGTGGAGAAGCATGAATGTATTTGAATTCTGGTGTTGGCAGGAATATTGAAAGTATAGCTACAATGATCTTTAGAAGTGAAGATGTTGAGACTTTGCCTCATGTACTTTGGACATGTTTAGCATCAGTGTAGCCAATTCTTGGTAAAAGACTTTGCTTGGTAAACTAGACTAGCTCAAAAGAAGACCCCCAACAAACTGGATTAATGGCAGTGGCTGCAGCACTGGGCTCAAACATAAGAAGCATTGTGAGCTGGTGGCGGACCTGGCAGTGTTTCGTGCTGCCATTCACGGCACTGGTATGAGTCAGCACCAGCTTGAGGGCACCTAACAACAACCTTATGAGTCATCAGTTCTGCTCTTAGGTACATAGCCTAGAAATGGCTAGAGAAGTAAGTGTGATATATGCATAAAGTGGAATAGTGTGCCCATCAAGAAAGACGTGTTCCTAAAGCAGCTGTATGTTTATGAAATAGAACAAGGATCATAGAAACAGATAACTTCTTAGATAACCAATCGCCTCACAGAATTAACTTTCTTGGTTTAAAGACAACTCAATTAATTGACGTAATATAGTTTATAAAGTTTTTGCTCTACCAAGTCTGGCAAGCAGCATCTGGGATCTTAAGATCTTGTAAACCTCCATTAAAGATACAATTACTGGTCTCTTCTCATCTGGAGCAAAAGAAAAAGCAGGAAGCCCAAGAGTCAGAAAGGATGCTCTCTATAGGACTACTCGTCGACATAGCCACAGCCTCTTCTACCCTGAGACCAGAAGAACTGGGTGGTGCCTGCCCACCACTGCCAACTTTTCTGATCACGGTAGATGACTTCTGATGGAAAGAGACACACTGCACAATTCAGCAGCTATGCGTCTGGTTCTAATCCCATCTTGGAGGAAATTCTCTGATTAGGATTAAGGTGGGATGTATTCCGAGTCTCCACCGTCGAAGAGGATGTGACTCAAGTTACCATCTTTTGTTCGTTGGGATGAGCCGTCTCAGGTGCAGGAACCCAGAGGAACCCCAGAAGAAGCCCCACCAGTGGAGTGCGTTCTAGATCTCTCTCTGAAGTGGTGGAGGCTGAGAGCAGAGGCACCAGAGGCTGGAGACCGTGGAACAGCGCTAAGGAGCCTGGCTTAGACCGGAGGCTGAGGCAGGAGACCATGAGACACAGGAGTAGTACTACAATCATGGGCTTCCACAGAGGCAGAGCCAAGGGACTGTGTGGCTGGGAAACTGAGGACCAGAGAAATACTTGGCTGCTGAGTGAGGAGAGGTGCTGCTGTGGTCCAGTGGTATATCCTTACTGTTTACTGATCTGACTTACGGCAGTCAGTTAACTCCCCTAATAAACGCCCACCATTGTGAGTTTTGTCTGCCAGTTCTTTGTGTCTATTGCAATCAGTTATCTAACCCAGCAGGAAAATAAGGGTGTTGTGGGGGAGCACGTTGTTGTCGGGCTAGAGTAAAGAAGCGGAGAGGTGGAGGTGTGTCTGACCTGCCTTGTGACAGCCTGCCCTGGATTTGCATGAACATTGATTCTCCGTCTCCCTGCTGTAATCTCCTTGCCCACAGTATGGCCTCCATGCCATTTCTGTAGAAAAAGAGCCTCTTCAAATTTTACAAAAATCCAGACTTACTGGCCCTACTGATAGAGGAAGAAACCCTGAGATAAAGCCTTGAACCCCAAATCCAAGCCATCCCCTCACGTCACCTTTTAGACAAATAGCAGGTTAGCCCATGAAGTAGTGAATATCACCCTTGAGTACTGTACTGTCAAAAATATGAGAACTATTTGAAACCAAATGGTCAACAAAGGCTGTAGAGTGCAGATGAACAGGTTGGAGGACTGTGAATGGGAATGGAACAGGCTGAAATAATGAGAATGCTGATTTAATGTGACCAATGTAAACGTATTACCAAATAGTAAAGGTAGACAGTTTTTGACTGGGAACCTATTTTGTTGTTCCCACCTTTTCTACCGAAAATACAATACAACATTATTTTTTTTTAATTCCCATGACAATGAAGTTGGAGAGTGGATGGGAATGGATGGGTCAGATGGATGACAAGTTGATCATTGTGGAGCTGGGTCTTTTGCTACTTTCATGTGTGTTTGACATTTTTACACAGTGTTAATGCCTAATGCAAAATTGATTTTTGGACATTGGTGAGCCACCTTAGTTACAATCCATGTGCTTGGGTCATCAAAATGCTTTCTGATCCTAATTTCTTGTTATCCAGATTTAAGGAAGATTTTTTCCAGAGGGGTGAAATCGGAGGACACTGTGAACTTGATACTCACACATTGATGTCTGAAGGTCAGCGCAAAAGCCCTCTGCAGTCTTGGTGAGACTTTATTGCTTAAACATACGTTCCTGAAGGGTTTGTCTTATGGTGGGCACTATCAGTTTGGGCTAGAACTGCCCAATGGATACAGGGAATCTAGGGCGGATGATCCCATCAGAACCAGTGGTGAGTGGCAATGCAGGGAGGGTCGAGGGAGAGTGGGTTGGAAAGAGGGAACCGATTACAAGGAATTATATGTGACCTTCTCCCTGGGGGATGGACAACAGAAAAGTGGGTGAAGGGAG